CAGGTGCACATCACCACGTCCGGCTAGTTTTTGTATTTTTGTAGAGACGGGGTTTCATCATATTGGACAGGCTGGTCTTGAACTCCTGACCTCGTTGTACAGCTGCCTTGGCCTCCCAAAGTGCTGGGATTACAGGTGTGAGCCTTTTCAAGTGAAATTCACATCCTCTCATGTCTCATCAGAACCCCCAAAGACTCCCCAGTCTCTGATAACACATCCAGGGTCTTTCCATGGCCTGGGGGAGCTGTAAGATCTGCTTCCTGGAGCCTCACCCTGTCTCCTGCTCCTCTCCAGACGCTGGACCCCTCCTGCCGCTCGGGCAGCACAGCACACACCTTGCTCTTCAGCTCTCACTTGGCCCTGTGAGTCAGTCCTCCCAGGCTCCTCCCACCTCCTCTGGTTACTCCCTGCCCGGGCCTCTTGTAGGAGGGAGCAGTTTTCCTGTGCCCATCGCCCACCCTTGCAGGAGGTAAGCTGCACGAGGGCAGCATTGTGTCACCTAGCACCTCGCCCCACACGGAGCAGGTGCCCTGCAAGATAGGTATCGGGTGGAGGACCCTCTCCCTGTGGCCTTTTATCTGTTTGTTTGCACGGAGTTTGCCATGTTTGGCTGCAGTCACGTCACTAGAAGACATTCCTTCCCTGCACCGTCGGCTCTGTGGCTGGGTCACAGCCCCAGCTGTGCGATCATTGCTCCACATCGTCCCCCCCGCCATTTGCTGTGACTCCTGTGCGAATACCCTATCCTGTCTCGGTTCCTCTCCTCTCCTGCACCTGATGCAGCACCGGGGCAAAGCAGGTGGGGGGAACAGGCAGGTGGCCTCTCCTGGGCAGGAAGCCCATGGCACCCAGGTGCTCCCTGTGCCCCAGAGGGACTGGGGACGTTTCATGGAGTAGGGCACTGGCCAGCTGATGTGTCCCCTGTCCCCCGCAGGCCTCTTGGGGTCTCCAAATCACCATGAATGCCATCGTGGCTCTCTGTCACTTCTGTGAGCTCCACGGCCCCCGCACTCTCTTCTGCACGGAGGTCCTGCATGCCCCCCTTCCCCAAGGGGCTGGGAATGAGGACAGCCCTGGCCAGGGCGAGCAGGCGGAGGAAGAGGAAGGTGGCATTCAGATGAGCAGCCGGATGCGCGCACACAGCCCTGCTGAGGGGGCCAGCGTCGAGTCCAGCAGCCCGGGGCCCAAAAAGTCGGACATGTGTGAGGCAAGTGTCTTTGGGGTCTTGGTTTTGTGTTCCCTGCAGTGTGTGTGGGATGGACAGGAGAACTTGAAAGCAGTGAATGAGGCCTCCTGGGGTGACAGACTGCTTCTCAGGAGCCCTTTAGTTCTGCTCATCCTAGCTGTAGCTTCCTTTTTATTTTTTTAAGACAGCGTTTCACCATGTTGGTCAGGCTGGTCTTGAACTCCCGACCTCAGGTGATCTGCCCGCCTTGGCCTCCAAAGTGCTTGGATTACAGGCGTGAGCCA